GCAGCGAAGCAACGACAACAATTGCGACACCGTTGTGGTGCGTCATGTTTTGTTGCTCTTTTCCGATGAGTTTTGCTAAGCCCTTGTTATTGATGACTACCTAAGTACCTATAAAGTTCATAGAAACAAGAATCACCCTTGTAGTTACAATCTGTTTGCATAGCTGATTCATCATTAACAGCCATGATATAGGATGATATATCAACATTGTTATCCTTATCGAGGTAAATGCGCCTCCTTTCTGAGGCGGAGCATTTCTATTTGCCATTGTGTGTTACGCCGGCAAGAAGCCCGGAAGCCACCCAAGGGATACGGAGACCTACTAAACACCATGAGACCAAGCTACTCTCTTGGGGTAAGGGATTGGGGGCTTCTCCTCTAAGTTATGGGAACCTCTTAAAAATAAACATAAGCTCAGGCGCAAGGGGGCCTCGGATCATTTCCAGGTCGTACCAAGTCATGCCACGAGGCATTGGATACTTAAGTAGTCCCAGTGCGTCTCCTTGATAAGGACACAGGAAGCCAAAAAAAATCTAGAAGACAAATCGAACCATTCCTGATTTTGGATTCCCATTTCAAGACCTCCATTCTATCATTTGTCAAGTCAGGCCAGCCCCTCAACTCCTATACGATACACAGCTTGGCAGTTTATACTCACCATACCATCCTTATCCTTGAAAATGCCGATCAGCTGGAATTTGGACGTCAGTGCATTTCTCGTCTTGCTCAGCAAAAATCAGGAGGTTGCCTTTCGCCGCGCCAACAAAAGACTTTCAGATGTGCTCTCCTTAGCGCCTGTTTCGGGACTCCAAGGATACTTGCAGAGCTACATGTCTGTGGTCGACGTTCAAGATCGAGAATATATCAGCCCATATGGGAGGAAAAGGGCCCCCCTGCGTGACATGAGGCTTGCGCAGATGATCGCTCGAACTGGCGTTCTGGATGATGGCCATGTTACAACATATCAAATCGACAATGATGCCCAGCCTAGCGCTCAGAGCCGACGTATGGTCGTTAGGTGTTGGCTTGTCACCATAACGTCGTGGATATTATTCTCTGCCCTGATACTCATTGCCTTTCAGGCTAGCTCCATCACATGGGTCGGGAAGTCAAACCTACTAGCTCTGGGCATCTGGTCAGTTTTCCTCAGGGTTCTAGACGCCGTATCACTTACGCCGTCGGAATCGAAGCCTTTATTCCCCGATCGTCCGGACGCCGTGATCTTCCTAGGACGACGTAATTCAGCCTTCATATTGGAAGGGACCCGCGAGGATGTCCTCCAGTGGACTGGGCTAGGATTGCGCTATCGGACCGCGTGGGGTTTGAAATACCTTCATATCATCTCACGAATTGGCACATTGCTGTTACTAGCGTTCATGTTCCTTACGATCCCCAGTGGATCGTCGGACGACCGAGCGCTCTTCTTCAGCTACAATGTTCTTGGTCAGCTGAACACTTGGCTCGGCCTGCACATGCATACGCGCCGAACGTTTCTTGAGCTTGAACCGCTATCGAAGATCCCGGTTGCAACTCGAACGCACGTATACGCAGTTCTACTCAGGCGTTTTCAGGAAGAGAAGGGTTGGACCGAATACGTCAACATTCTGCCGCGAACCCCAGTATGGAATGAGTGGAGACGGCAGGTCGTCGAGGTGGATGAAGATGCTAAGGTGCTGTGGGAACGCATTGCAGATAGCATGTAAGGTTTTACTGCCTGTTGCCACATCTGAATATCGATCGGAACTATGCCATCGGCAGATCTCTGGGCTGCGACATGAACCCAGAATGATCCGCACTTGGCCCATGTCAATCAAAAGGGCCAGACTTTACAACTTATTAGAGGACCAAAATTCAAGTCTTATGGTGTTGGTCGTGATATGGGGTGGGAGATGATCAAGCTGCTCTTCAACAATTTCGCAACTTGATAATGTAGATTAGACTGTTCTGAGGCGTCCGTTCTTAATCCCCCTATTTTTATCCAGTCCTCATTGATTTTCGCCCTGCGAATCACCGTCAGTACACTGAACGATGCGGCTTTCCAGTCAGCTGCAAGCTAACCTTAGTCGAATTCTCTTCTCCGATACAAGTTTGAAAAGAACGCCCTCTTCTTGATAGCTAAACCCCTGCCCAGTGTTGTGCGTTGTCCTTGTTGGAATATGATTTTCATCTAAAACGCGCCGTATCACGGTCCTACCTATCCGACTTGACAACGTTAATCTTTTGGTAGCCTATCAGCATAGTGCAGCAGTTCTGTTCTAGGACACGCCGGCCAGTGAGTCATCAGGGTGACGCCAAGAAAAAGAACGGGTTGGACAAATAGGCCACGATGCCCTCATCACTTCGCCCAAAACGCGACACGTTCATTCTTACAATCACCATCTTCATAACAATAGAAAACTCAATTGAAATCGTCGTGAAGTAGGGTTGAATAATTGTTCGTGTTTCACTTTGACAGCATGGCTCAACCAACAAGCACAATCCGCTACCTCCCCACCAATGAGGCCTACGACAAATGGGCGAAAGTCTATGACAGCGACGGCAACTTCTTACAGGCTCTAGACGACATAGAACTTAAGACCCTCTTCCCGCGTTTCGTGGGGTCCATCACGACGCCAAAGCCCTGGCGTGTCGTGGACCTAGGCTGCGGCACAGGCCGCAACACAGCGCTTCTGCTTTCGCTCCCCGACACCGAGGTCGTCGCTCTAGACTCGAGCAAGGGCATGTTGGAAGTAGCGAGGGCGCGATTCGACGCCTTGAACCCCGCTTCTCAGGACCAGATAAATACGAACCTCCGTCTCGACATCTTCGACATGCTCGCCACCTCTGCACCCCCGCCATCCGTGGCGCCTCACACGGTAGACGCGGTAATCAGCACTCTAGTCGTCGAGCACGTCCCGCTCCCCACGTTCTTCGCGCACGTGTCGCAGCTGCTGCGCCCCGGGGGCCTGCTCCTGCTGACCAACATGCACTCCGAGATGGGCGGGATCTCGCAGGCCGGGTTCGTGGATACCATTACGGGCGAGAAGATCCGACCAACGAGCTACGCGCACACTGTCGAGGATGTGGTGGCCGAAGCGCGAAGAAGGGGGCTGGAGGTCGAGAGTGACGGAGACGGAAAGGGGATTCTCGAGACGGCGGTTGATAAGGGCATGATTGAGAAGCTGGGACTTAGGAGCAGCAAGTGGGTTGGCATTGCGTGTTGGTTTGGGGGCATATTTCGGAAGGTTGATGAGTGAGGGTGTAGGGGTTGGGTCTGTGGCGTGTAATAAGGGGTAAAAAATATATAATCGGTAGTCATGTAGGGCATAAGGGTTTTACACGTTTCTAGTTTTATAAGTGAATATTGTCGCTAGAACTAGCTATAATCGCGACTGTTGATCATTTATTCTTGCAACATGAGGCGTGAAATAATGAACCGGTAACAAGGAAGTTGAAAAGGGAGCAATTAGGAATGACATGTGTAGAGTCTAAACTGCATGGCGTTGAAAGCAGAAACAACCTGCAGGGAACTATTTTGTAGATTATCACTCGGTTAGGATACTCGTGTTGAAGAATATAACCTGTACGGTGATATCATCTCGAAAAAGACGGCAGTAAGGAGATTCCACGGCTAGCCTAGAAGCTACTAGGTCGTGGTGGTTTCCACCAAGAGCGTTACAAATCAAGTGAACCGCAGCGTTCTCGTCTTGAGTCGTCATTCGGCTATTAATTGAGTCATCATCGTTCATTCCTTCTGCTGCCGTGCCAATGTGGAACGGTGTGTGCCCTACCACCACCCAATTCTCTGCCGTTACGGCCATTCTGGAGTCCACCCACTTTGCGACGATATTGACAGCTTGCTCACTGGAAATTATCTCCCAGAGACCGCCAGATGCCATAATCAGAAAATAAGGCGTGTCGGTGTCGACAGAAGCGGTACCCACAGCTGGACAAGCAGTCAGCTAGGGCGGCGTTTTATAACAGTCATGGAACCGCATCAATGGCGTTCTCCCACTGAACCCCTGAGTCACATCCACCTGAAGCTCCAGAGGCCATTTCCAGCGAGAATCTCCGAAAGATCGTGTGAACCTCACGCCGAACAGTCCTCCGTTCTGAACCATTTTCGTCTCGCCTGGATGCGCCCGCTGAAGCCTCTCGACCTCGCTCTCGTTGGAGCCGGTTTGATCTGTTGATAACGCAGTGGTTTTCCATTCCGAATTATCAACCTTCCGCCCAAATACTGCTCTCGAGCCCCCGGTGCACGCCACGTGCAACTTCCTTCGGTCGGCGTCAAATATCGATACCAACGCACACGAGCCGGATTGGCAAGGAGCCAGTTTCTTGATCTTGTCTTGCATAGGCTCTGTGCTATTGATGTATAGCGCAGGTGGAATCATGAGAGAGTTGTCAAGTTCCTGAAAACCGTTCGCGATGGCGTTCTGGATTTCGGCGTCGCTTTTCGGGACCGGTCTTCTTGTCGTGTGTGAGCCTAGCCAAGCTGTCCCGGACAAAGGACATAAGCTTTCTTTCCAGCAGGTCCGCCGTTTCCCAACCATGGTGGCCGTCGAAAATCCCCCATGAAATCCACTCGCTGCCGTCATTCCAGGGCGAAGCAAACCTGCCGTGCATGAACCGGTCCTCACATGGGCAATAGGCAGGGAGTTTGACGTAACAACGGAAAGAGGAACGAAAGCATAATTTGAATTGATCTTCAAACTTTTATAGAAGCTCTTCACTCTCAAATTTAGGATTACAATAGCCCACGGCGGCCCTATTTCTAGTTGTTATAAATAATCGCTGTTACTTGGGATAGTATTACTCATCATCACTTCCAACATGGAAACTGGCAATCATGCTACTCCTGTTTAAGAATGCCTTGCCGTTAGAATCATCAAGCTATGTTGATATCTATATGCGATGGAGCTTTGTTGTTGAGAGGTTGTCGTGAGGTCTGTCCTCGACCTAGCAGTCTGTCTATCGTGAATGAGTGTGTTTACTGCTCCTATTTCTCAACAATTCACGGCCTCGTGGCCCAATGGCAAGGCGTCTGACTACGATTAGTAAACAACTTCAATAGCTGTACTAGTTAATCAGGAGATTCTGGGTTCGACCCCCAGCGAGGTCAATTTTTTTCGTTCAGGGTGTTGCACAACAACCAAAGCACCCCGCACCTTAGCTTATATGCTAGTGCGGGTGGATAGAAATAAAATCGGAGGTGCCTCCCCACCCTTTTTGTGCAGGCTACCACCTTCCTACATTTTTATCCATTTCTTCAATTGCCACGCCACATTCAGAACGAGTGAGAAGTGAGATTGACTCTGTATAAGTACCGATTTCATAGCATACTGCCATTCTATGCTACTGACTCAATCAGGCATGGCCGGTGCCCCAGCTGAAGCAAGATCCGCAGGTTGATGTACAGGTGAGGTCGAACCAGGACATGACGACAGCCTCCTGGTTCTGAATGTTGTGCGGCACGTTCGCGGCGCTGTAGGCCTGGAACCAGTTGTTGGGGCCATACACGTACTTGGTCCAATTGGGGACAGGCGTGTTGGGAGTCGTGCTCGTGGGCGTCTGGCTGTAGCCGAGCACCGCGTTCCACTCCTTGACCTCCTCCTTGAAGTTCTGGTAGTTCAGCGTCTCGTCGACGGTGCCGTGGAAGATCTGCATCTTCGGCCGCCAGCCCGTGTAGCCGGGATACGCCGCCTTGACCAGCGCCGCCCAGTCCTCCGGCGTGCGGGTGATCTTCCCTGTCGCGCACGCGTCGCCCCAGACGCCGTAGCCGTTCGCGGCGAAGCAGCCGAAGGGGACGCCGGAGAACGCGGAGCCGGCGGCGAAGACGTCCGGATACGCACCGATCAGAGTGCTCGTCATCATCGCGCCTGACGACACGCCCGTCACGAACACGCGCTTGGCATCGCCATTGTACTTCTGGAGTGTCCAGCGCACCATGCTGACGATCCCCAAGCTGTCGCCGCCCGCGTCGTGCTTCAGGGTGGCGTTGGACGACACGTCCCAGCACTTGTCGGCCGTGTTAGGGCTGTCCGGGTAGATGACGATGAAGCCGTACTTCGACGCCATGGTCGCGTACTGCGAGCCGGCATAGGCAGCTTTCGCATCGCCGTGGCACCAGTGCGGATTGACGAGGACAGGTGGGTGTGCCGCGAGCTTGTCGGGCACGTAGATGTAGAACCCGACGTTCCTGGGGTTAGGGCCGAAGTTTTCGGCGACTTTGGTTAGCGAGGCCGCGTTTGCCCCGCCCACGAGACCAGTCGCGAATAGCGCCCAAGATGTCCAGCGCATGTTGAGTGAGTATCACCGAGTTCTAAATAGTAGATCTGCAAGGTGAAGAAAGCTCAAGCACGGATGGATGTGTCAAGACACTCGGTCAGAGCAGATATATATATTCGTCAATGGACATTCGCCCCAGGCGACTCCACGATGCTCTTTAGTCCAACATGGGCCGTCGAGGACGGAGATTCGTGCTCCGCCGCCATTCTGGGTTAAGGTCGGCGTAGTGCCGCTCACTACCATTTAGTCTAGACGTCTATTGAGGATATCCATCGAGGATCCGGATAGGAGATTCACCGTCGCATCGTCGTGAAATAAGCCTCGAGGGACCAATCGACTGCTTGAATAGGTATCCAGGTATGTAATTTAAGCTATGCTGTACACCACCCACGCGGAAAATTGACCGCGATCTTGAGCCGAACACCTGGATGCCCGGGGTCAATACTTGGAGCAGGTTCAGAGAACTGGCCAATCGAAATGAAACAGCTTTCCTATTATGGTATCTCTCTATCTAGCTCCCGAACTAGACAGGCTTCAGTCACCGCAACGGGGCATCGCACTCGTCTTGCTGGCAAAGACCGCTCCCTCAACCCCACATACTAGCCCTGCTGAGAAAACCGAGTCTCGAAAACGCCAACTCCGTCATGCGTCATGTCTCATATCGTCTAGGTCTTAGGACGAAGCAGAAATAAAGGATGAATCCGGCACCACGATGCAAATGCTGACAACACGCTACCCCCCTATCAACAGATCGGCTCGAAAAGACGTCTACATGTCTTAATGGATCCCGAGTCACGATGACCCGCCAAGGTCTTCCCAACCAGCTCGGTCCCTCGATCAGCCGCAATTCCCCATCTTTCCCGCCCGATCGTAACAGCCGCCGCACACCATTCTTCCCGAGCCGTCCCTCGCCTTGCAGAGATTGGCCACCGAGTCCTCGTGTCCTTTTTTCGTGCAGGCGCAGTAGCATCTGCCGATTTCGACATGCACGTCTTTCCAGCTGGTGTCATCGAGGAACTTGAGAGGACCGATGGGGATTTCGACTTCGCCAAATAGCGAGTCTGGGTCCTCGAATAGGGAGCTTGAGTCGCTGGAGTCGCTCAAGTCGCTTGATGGGGTATCGGAAGGCATGGTTTTGAGGAAGGTGCCTTGTTGTCTGTATGATGAGGCTTGTGGGATGTGGACAACTTTGTGGTATTTGTAGTTCTTGATGTTGGGGATGGTTTTAGGTAAGCTCGGTATGATGGCATTCCCGTGATGGAAGTATGTAGTTGTTCCTGGCCAAGAGAGGAAAGAAGGCTCGCCTTCTCAGTCAAGAGATGCCTCGCAAGCAATGGGAAGATAGTGAACAAGAAGATGTGCGTGTACTCCAGGGAGTCATAGACCGTGTGTGCGTGGGATATGATGATATTTGGTTAGAGGATCGGAATGTGCGTGCCATGATGTAAAAGATTGTTTACCTACGTGGGGAACATATGCTAATATATTCAGTGAAAACATATCAAAAGACGGCGATGCAGAAGCTGTTGCCGCCGATTTATTGTCTAGGAAGTGGTTGTGCTGAACTAGATCGCCGTCACAGTGGTTAGGTGGAGAGCATTTAATGTAATGAGTGAGTAACTGCAATGAACTGTTAACACTCTAAAAGTTCAAGAGCATTGCTAAAGGATATTGTGATGTAAACAATAATGATGGGACTTTAATTATTAGCTAGTATTATGTTAGAGCTTGTATGTTAAAATATGCTCATATATGAGTTCTACCATGATTAGCAAACTAATTGTAGTTTTATTGTAGATGTCTATATAGCAGCTGTTGCTGCAATAGTCATCTATGATCAGGTAGGTCATCCTAGCAGGGCACTTAAACCTAAGCAGAACTGCAAGACAATAGCATCACATGTATTTCAACACTTGAAATCATGGTTGCCTCGTAATAGCTCTTTGAACCAAAAGATGTTTAAGACAGCCAAGGTATGTGTGTACTTTGTGTTTGCTTTGAGGCTTGGTAGTTCTTGAAGAGAATCGATTACACAGACCATTGTCATCCCTTGAATCCACTGCGGATATGCGCTACAATAGTACCTAAGGCAGTCTCTTGTTAACACCTCATACTAAGGTAGCACTGGAACATAGTAGAGTAGGTTTTTTTCTGTAGACAACTTGCTGCCTAATTTTCAACAAAATTGAACAAGTCTGCCTTATGCTGCGTGTGACACCTGATTCAACCTCACCTACCTACGTTAGGTACATAGGTACCTTATCTAGACCAATCAGATTAGCACTATAAAGTACCTATGTACCCAAGTACTCGTGCTATGTACCTTAACTTAGTACCTAAGGCACACCTTTGAGTCCCATGCAGGTTAGGTGCCTGGATGCTTCTGCTACATGTACAGAAACCCACATTACATGGAACGAACATCTATGGAATTGGATTTAATAGATCCTGGTAAATAAATACACTTTAAGTTGACCTTCTCTGCGCTCCGTATTTTGTACAGAACTGGTGCTTGCCCATGCAGCTCAAAGGTCAGCTAGGGGGCTGAGTACGACTTTCCATCGAATACAATAACAACCTGGAAAGTACCTAACTTAACCGCTCTCTCTCTCTGAGGCCTTATGCCAGGCTTACCAGATCTGGTACAGCACCTAACTCAATTAAAAAAAACATTCGGTTAGATGTCACTTGCTCAGTACCAGGAGTAGTGTACACAGACTCATCATTGTCATAGCACTACAACATCATGACAATGGCGTGACGCACATAGCATTACATAAGGTATAAAAGTACATGTAGATGTAGTCTGGTAGGCGTAGCCTGCATTTGGCTGGGAAAGAGGCACTTAGGACTGTTACAGTATTTAGCTGATTCTTGGACTGGACTGATCTTCCATTACGAATACAACAACAACATCTTTTCCCCCGTCCAATTCTGATGTAGGTGATGCACAAGAAATACACGTGTATTGTACCCCGCCAAACCATACCCCCTGGAAATAGAGCGCTATCGGTAAGAGCCCTGCATGTCTGTCGCGTCCGATGTCTCAGCTCCAGTACGTACCACTGTATCAGTGCCGAAGCTGTCTAAATGCATTTTAGCTGATTTCGTAAGGCGGATTGAGTTCCATGCGTCAAGGCTCACTTTAGATAAAAACATTCAATAACGCGTTGTGCCAGCATCTTTCCATACCTAGCTACTCTCGCAACCTGACAAGAAATCACCGTCACTTGTGCCATTCCCTTTTTCTTCCCTTTTTTTCAATCCAGAAGTCCTCAAGCTCGCTAGCTTCACTTCAATAATTATGGCTTCCATCACTCTGGATCCAGAGGCTATTGGGCAGCTAAGTGGTGAACGTAAGGCGCTCCTCGATGCCATAGACAGTCTGCGAAAACACGGCATCGGGCGTTTTGTGGACCTTCCCCAGATCATCGTCGTTGGCGATCAGTCTTCGGGCAAGTCGTCCGTGCTAGAGGCCATCTCGCGCGTCCGCTTCCCAGTCAAGGATGGAGTGTGCACGCGCTTCGCCACTGAACTGGTTCTCCGGACCGATCCGCAGACACAAGTCCATGTCCAAGTACAGCCTGCTTCCGCCTCGTCTAGTGAAGCCTACTCGTTCAGCGAGACAAGCTTCGACAAGGACGACCTACCGCGCATCACTGAGGAGGCCAAGAGACGCCTCCTCTCAGGAAGCGCCAGCTTTTCCGAGGATGTATTACGCATCGAGATATCCTCCCCGGATGTCCCTCATCTGACCCTTGTCGACCTTCCCGGCTTTTACCACTCCGAGGATGAAGATCAACCGGCTGATGGCCGTGACATAGTGGATCGCCT